GACGTTTCTAACTCGAGATATCATGTCAACCAGATTTCTATGGGCTACCCTTACATTTGTCGCCATAAATAAGAAAAAAAAATTTTTTTTATGTACTTCAATATATGTGAGATAATATATAAAAGTTTCGAGATATTTCAATACATTTTACTATGACAAAAAAATTCTTGAAAATATGTGCAATAAGACCTAGAATGCCCCCTTTTCACTTCTTTTTCAAATAACGCTTTAAACACGCCACATTTTTCACGTTTATTCGCAAACGATCGTTCTTCACGTATTATCGCGTCAAAATAATTGTCGCAACAAAGAATTTCTGACGATTTTGCAGCTAATAATTACTATTTTATCAAAACGCGTCCGTCGTTCGATTTCACAGAAAAGAGGACCGGGGCGCGTTCCTCCCCGCATGGCAACGCACGGCTGGAGCTAAGCGGAACATCTCGACCGACGAGACGGCACCACGCCGGACTGACAGCACACCAAACCGGTGGACGCGGAAGAACGATACCACGAGAGAGCAGTCTCCACCCTGTCTAGACAAAATCAATGCGACCTCAAACCTCCTACATCCCCTCCCTGGCTACATCCTCTCTTCAGCACCGCGTCCTGCGTTTCGCACGTGCACGCTCGTCGCGTGCCCTGCAGCTGCGTGCGCGCCGCATCCACCGCTGGTGCGCGCAAATGCCGCAAATATATTACACACCCACCGTGCGAAATCTATAAACTCTGCGCGAGGAATTGGTGGCTTCTAATTGAACTGCCGGCACGAAGTTCGTGTGTGGACGATCTGATATTTTATTACGAAAGCGCTCTCTCGAGCAACGAACCCTTATACGCTGTTGCTTAAGCCGCGGTGAATCAGCCTCCCTCGTCGCGTGACATCTTGTATTTCAGAATGCTCGTTTCCTTCGAGCGGCCCTTCTTTTCTCCCTTTCTGTCCCTCCTTCTGGCCGAGATTTATTACCCGGGGGCAATCCCGCGGCAACGCGAGTAGAGGCTTCCGCTTGAGAGTTTCTCTTTGCGAAAAATATTTGGAGTATCTTCGCCATGCTCGGGCAGTTCTCTGCCCGTTGGAAAAAAAAATTTCCCGTGCAGACGGAATGCTGTGTACCTTTTTGACCGGGGGCAAAGGTAGAATTAAGGGAAAAGGAGATTCACTCGTTGGAAATACTCCGTGCGACGAGTCGGTACATGTAATATTTTAATCCTTCAGCTTTAATTCCGCTCTACGTATTCCCGAAGTCTATTTCTCGGTTTATCACGCTCAGGATAAAGGAAATGAAATAAAGCGAATATGTGAAGGATGCTCCATCGAGCGACGAGATTAACCGAAGGAAGAGATATTTCTCCTTTAAAAAGAGCCGTTAATTTTTCGCACAATGATACCCCTCGAATTTTGCGCGCAATTTCTCGGTGAATGGGGTAGCACAGATTCGCGGAGAAGCTTTTACAGGAGGCGACGGAAGAATCTCAAGGAGGATATCTCGGTAATGAAAGTCTCGCCGGGACACAAGGCCCCGCGACGTGAAAAGAGGGTAACAAAATCCGCCGGAGGCGACGCGCGTCTCTTCTCGGTGCATCTCCGAAAATATTCCGACTTTCGCAGAAATTCAATAAGTGGGAGAGCCTTAAAAAGGAGAGACGGTAAGGTAAACGTCACGTCTGAAATAGCGACGTCGTGATATTGAATCCGACTCTCAACATTGATTCAGATATATATATATATATCTAATATATATATATATATATATATATATATATATATATAAAACGCGAAGTATTGTTAAGTGAAGAAATATCTCGGTGCAATACCACCTGCGTTTACATCGTCTCTTTTCTCCGTATATGTCTTCAGCGAGACATTGCTGCACGTATCTCGGCGAAAAAATCGTTGTAGGTTTACTTAACGTTTATCCACGAGCTGAGTCAGAATCTCATTAATTTTGGCACGTTTTCCAATATAAGGTATATAAATTATATTATAACAGAATAATACATAAAATCGCGATCAAAGCATATATTTTCTTCTTTCCAATACTGCGAAAGAATTCAACGCTGATAAGAGGACAACTCTTGACGCTTTAAATTTTATTAAATTTTTAATACAATTACAGTACACCCCATTCACTAATATAAAGTACAGTAAACAGTAACTCTGTCCAGTTCGCAATAGTTAAAATATTAACGTTTAAAACTTTTTCGTGGGCGTAACTATTTATGCACACGACACAACAAAAATACATTCCATAATAATTAATCTTCCGTGTCGAAACCTTCAATTTGTACACTATCAATATTATGGTTACAATACACGTTTCTGGATGGTATTTATCACAGAAACATTTAAAACACACTATTAATTTGCACCAAGCACATTTTATGAATGCAACTTCTTTGCATAAACATAATTCATTTATTATTAATATCGAAAAAAACATTTTTAACATTAATATTTCATAAATTATTGCGCATTGAACAGAGTTACTATATACTCTGTACCAGTGAATGGAATGTATTGTAATATATTAAAAATTTAGCAAAATTCAAAGGTAGATTGCCCCTTGCGATATATAAATAGATCCCTAAAGTTTCGTAATAACAGTGACGTGTGGGAGGCCGCTGATCTTGTCGATTTCGAAGTTGTTGCCGCCGAAGTAGAGATACCGTAATTTGACGGAATCAGCGAAAGTGCCGTTATCTATCGCGCGGATATTATTGTCGGCCAGCACGATATCTTTTAGATTGGAGAGTCCTGTAAAAGTGCCGACTACAATGTGAGACAGTTTATTTTCGTCCAGTCGCAGTAGTTCCAGCTGAGACAGCTCCCGGAATGTTCCCGGCTCTAGAACGCTGATCTCGTTCTGTTGAAGATAGAGTCTCTTCAGACCGACCAAGTCACGGAGAAGCAACCTGGAGACGCTCGTTATCCGATTGTCATTTAAGTAGAGATACTGCAGCTTGTTCAATCCTCGAAAGGCACCGCTCGGTAATCCTTCTAGCCGATTGTAGCCCAAGTCGAGGCTATTCAATCCGGTTAACCCGGCGAAGGAACCCGGCGCGACGCGGGAGATTTTATTGCTGTTGAGCCACATGTACAACAGTCTGGGATTGAGATTCGAGAAAGATTTCGTCTCGACTGCCTCGATATCGTTTTGACCCAGGTCGAGAATTATCAAGCTTGACAGCCCAGCGAACGAGTCCCTCGGTATCGAACCGATCTTGTTGAAGACCAACGACAAGTACCGTAGGTGTCCCAATTCCGCGAACAAGTGCTTTGACAACGATACCACATTGCTGTCTAAGAGGAGGATCTTCAAGTTGGGCAAACCGCGAAAGGATCTCCTCTTCAGCACGGATATCCGGTTTCCTTGAGACAGAAGCAAGATCGTCGCCGTCACGTTTTTGAAAGCGTCCTCTCGAATCTCCAGGAGGTCTAGGTCGCTGAAGTCCAAGCGGAACTTCTTGAAACGACGTTGCATGACTTCGACGAGGATTCCCTTATAGTGGCAGACCTTGTAACCATTGACGTTTTGGCAGGTCGGCTCTTTCACCTCCGACGAGGCTCTCGTCAAGAGAAGCAGGATAAAGACTTGCGAAAAAAGCAGAAGAAACATCGCCGAAAGAGACCAAAAGAAGCCGACGCGCCTAACTCAGTGATACGAATGCAACTGTAATTATGTGTTCTGTATCCCGTGGAGAGTTAGCGATTAGATAGCGCAGCGTGACTTTTGGCATTGATTATCGTCACTTGCCGAGATACTATCGACTGCATTCTTGGAAGTAGTAGAGTCAATTACGAAATGTCAAAGTTGAAGAAATAGGAGATGCGTAATTTTGATTCACGGACGACGATGACGACGATGCGAAGATAAATATCTCGTGGTTATTAAATGCTGGACTTGACGTTTTTCTCCAGCATCGACATATACCGACCGACCGAGCGGCTTCTTCGGAGTAAATCAAAGGATGCGAATCATCACGAATTGCGCAATCTTGCGCTACCTTTAATCGTACGAGCAATGGAAGAGACCTCGCTAGAGGAGCAGATCAATTGACTGACCGAATCGCTACGGATGATTCGCTTTATTTTCTACGTTAGCATGATCGATTTAATCATAACATCGAATATGATAACGCATGAAGTTGCGATTAAAAAATTTATTTATTTATTTCTTATGTCGGGAAGCAGTCAACGCTGAGAAGAAGATAACCAACCTTTGACCTCTTCAATTTTTATGTTACACTACACCCCATTCACTGATACAAGTTATACTAACTCTGTCCAATGCGCAATAGTTTATAAAATTGTTTAAAAATTTTCCTGTCCGTAATTGTTTACATACACAGCAACAAAAATACATTCCATGACAATTAATCTTCGGTGTCGTAACTTTCAATTTGTACACTATCGATTATGATCACAATCTGTACACGTTTTCAAAGAATATCTATCATAGAAACATTTAAGACATATTACTAATTTGCACATTTAATGAATGCGACTTCTTTGCATAAGCATAGTTTATTTATTATTAATATCGAAAAAAACATTTTCAACATTAATATTTCATAAATTATTGCGCATTGAACAGAGTTACTATCGTCTGCATCAGTGAATGGAACGTATTGTAATATATAAAAAATTTAGCAAAATTCAAGGGTTGATTGCCCCTTGCGATATATAAATAGATCCCTAAAGTTTCGTAATAACAGTGACATGTGGGAGGCCGCTGACCTCCTTGTCGATTTCGAAGTTGTTGCCATCGAAGGAGAGATATCGCAGTTTGACGAGATCAGCGAAAGTGCCATTGTCCACCGTGTGGATGCCATTGTCGCACAGCTTGATGTCTTCCAGATTGGAGAGTCCAGCAAAAGTGCCGACTACAATGTGAAACAGTTTGTTTCCGCTCAGGTCCAGTTGTTTCAGCTGAGACAGATCCCTGAACGTATCCGGCTCGAGAGCGCTGATCTCGTTCTGCTGAAGATGGAGTCTCTCCAGACCGACCAAGTCGCGAAAGAGCGATCTGGAGACGCTTGTTATCCGATTGTAACTTAAGTCAAGATCCTCCAGATTGTTCAATCCTCGAAAGGTACAGCTCGGCAAGTCCTCTAACCGATTGTCGTTCAAATAGAGGCAATTCAGTTCAGTTAACCCGGCAAAGGAATCCGGCGCGACGCGAGAGATTTTATTGCTGTAGAGGCAAAGGTACAACAGTCCGGGATTAAGATTTGAGAAAGATTCCGCTTCGATCGTTTCGATATCGTTGTGACCTAGGTCAAGCCAAATCAGGCTTGACAAGCCGGCGAACGAATCCTTCGGTATCGAATTGATCTTGTTGGATTCCAAATACAGCATCTCCAGGTGTTTCAAATCCGCGAACAAGTACCCCGATAACGGTACCACATTGCTGTCCAAGTCGAGGCTCTTCAAGTTGGGCAAACCGCGGAAGGATTCTCTCTTCAGCACGGATATCAGGTTGCCCCGATTCAGATACAACTGCGTCGCCGACACGTTCTTGAAGGCGTTCTCTCGAATCGTCAAGAGGTCCAGGTTGTAGAGGTCCAATAGGGACGATTGGTCCTCGAAACGGCTTTGCGTAACTTCGACGAGGACTCCCTTGTAGTGGCAAACGTTGTAACCAAAACGTTGTAACATTGTAACGTTGCCGTTGTCCTGGCAGGTCGGCTCCTTCACCTCCGACGAGGCCCTCGCCGAGAGAAACAGGATAACGACTTGCGAAAAGAGCAGAAGAAACCGCGACATTGCGAGAGAGTTTGAATCAGTCGACGCGCCTAACTGAGTGACACGGACGCAACTGCAATTACGGGTTTTATATCTCGTGGAGAGTTAGCGATTAGATAGCGCAGCGTGGCTTTTGGCACTGATTATCGTCACTTGCTGAGAAACTAGCGCGACTGCATTCTTAGAACAGGAGTCGATTATGAAGTGTCAAAGTTGAAGAAATAGGAGATGCGTAATTTTGATTCACAGACGACGATGACGACGATGCGAAGATAAATATCTCGTGTGTTATTAAATGCTGAACTTGGCGTTTCTCCCCAGAATCGACCTGTACCAGATTAAAAAAAAAAAATTATTTCGGTAGCGTCAAAACGCCTGAATTAATCGCATCAATTAAAATGAGCGCGCAGCTGAATATCTTGCATTAAACGCGGCCCTTAATAATCGCAAGTCCGCTTTTAGCAAACCGCGCGCATCACCGATGGCAGGTTATTCGCCACTGATTGTCTGTAACGAGCGGTAGAAAGTACGTAATAGTCCAGTGAGCACCCGGGACGAGTGAGGCGATCACGGAAAGTGGAGTGAAACGGTAGAAAAATAATACTCGTTGTATAAGAACTATATAAGAACGCGAGCATCCCCGAGATGGATAATCCGTTTTGATATACGTTTTACCCGAGGCAATTCGTATTTTTCAATAATTTCACGTTGTACATATTTGTCATTGTACACACGTGCGTTATTAAATGTTTACCAACGTAAATAAATTCCCCCCTCAAAAAGTGCAGCGTGTGTTTATCTCACGCTGCGCTGCGCTTTTACCGTCAAAGTTTAAAATCGTGTTAATTCCAAGACCTCTAAAAGATTAGGATTAGAAGATCCGCGGTTGATCTTGAATTTTCCAGCGAGTATATGAATTTTTCCGGACGAGTAATGACTCCGGAATGAACGATGAACGGTCCCGTGCAACGAAATACGTTGCAACCCGGTCAAGAGATGCGACAAATATGTACCGCGGCGAGCGATTTTCAAGGCTAGCGGCGTCTCGCGAGCGGTGCCGAGGAACTTTCTAAGGTATTGGTGAAAACATCAGAAGAGCGATTCGCCTCTCGCTCGCGAGGTCATCGAACGACGTTACATCCCACTCGCTCACTCGCTCGCTCGGTTTCTCGATCCGCGAGCACTCCGCGGTCTCGTTCGGTCTGCGGTTAATGACAAACCCAAGTCGTTAATGTGACGAAGGCGCATAAATATCAGCCGAACGAGGAAGAAGAGAATCGAGTATTCGCGTTGCTCGTCGCGGCGGAATCTCGCGCTTTGCGCTAGCTTGACATTTTTCTCAAGAGCCAGCTTCGGCTGGCGACTTCATTTAATTGCTTCTCGGAGAGGACGATAACGAGCCACGGTCTATTATCGCGCGAAGAAAAAAAGAAAGAAAGAAAACGCACGCGATAATAAATACGCGAGCATAATTGCAGCTAACTACTCGCCTCGACGTGTTCCGGGTAGTCGGTTATAGCAAACTCACGATTTATTGTAACAATTTCCACGTCGTGGTCGCTTTGTTAGAGCCTTGTTCTTCTTCGACAACCTCGTCGTCGATCGGGCTTTTATCGAGATTCGTCATGTATCTCCTCCGCTCGGAGGGGAACGCTCGTGCAACCGGTGCGCAAATACAATGACCGCGTTACAGCGGCCCGACCGACGTGTCGACGTCTATGCAGCCGGTGAATGTCACCTGTAATGGCCAGCATTACGCCTCGCCGCCGCGGTAAGTACGCGCGCAAGTAATTGACATTTGCCCAGGTATACTCTTAATCGACTTTTAATACGTGGAAAATCGCCTTAACAGGATGTGGTGGAACGTCGAACTCCGCACGAGAAGTCGCGCTACGCGGAGCACTCTATTTTACATAAGAGAGCTTTTTACCGAGTTCGTAGGATCAAGTTTGGAACGAAGCGAGAGAAACATTTGCCTCAACCTCTCGACTCTCGGCGAGTCGAGTTCGTTGACAATTTCTTATCGCAATTCCCCGCTCTCGCGTAACCGCGACTCTGTAATTGGACCTGTACTTCGCGATCGCGGACGCAGATTTTTTTATTTTACTTTATTTGTTAAAGATTGTATTACTCGCGCGTCCGCGCAGGGGGTGTGTGCGCGCTTCTCCGCAAAACGCGTGATGAAAAATGATCCACATGTCGATCGACGTTGCGATCTTGACATTAGGCGTGGCAAGAAAGTTACACGCCGTCGTGGTACCGTTTCTTATGAAACCGATGGAGGTCGGTCGTGCTCGCGCGCGCTCGCTCCTCCGTGTAACCTTTTACATTTTGCGCAAGCGATATTTCTCAGCGCAAGGATAATAAAGAAATGTATACGCGGATGCTTTCCACGGTGCGAGCTAAACCGAAAAGCTGAAAAATAAGGAGCGAGCGTGGGAGAAGATTTAGGAGCGAGGAAAGGGGGAGAGGGAGAGAGAGAAAGAGAGAAAGAACGCGATAGACACTGGATCGTTTCACCTGCGTGTATAGCGTTCTTACAAATCCCACATTACGAATGGAGAACGCGAGTTTCCACGGCGGACTGTTCCACGAATTTTTCACGTTATCCTCTCAAACGCGTTGAGCGTTTTTTTTTTTAATAGCGACAGAGCAATTTTAACTTCTCATTTCATTAAAACGAAAGTAGCTCGCTGCAAAATATGCTAATAACTCCGTGTTTTAAAGGCCATCGGTCTCGCGTCGACTGGACTGAACCAGAAGAAAATCGAAACCGATACCAGGCGCAGCCTGGTGACGTTATCGGCGAGCGGATCGAACTTCGAATTTCAAAAGGCGAAGGAAAGTTTCCGAAAAGGTCCAGCCGACTCACCGGAATTACTGTGTCCAGTAACGTTGCCGGTGGCCGAGTGTACCGCGTTGGTAGCGGCGTTCGCGACCTGCTTTAAGGCGCTTATCACCAGCATAGCTCCCGTTGGCCGGCTAATTGCCCGTCGCAATTAGCATCTGGCAGCGCGCGAGACGAACGACACACACACACACACACACAGACCAGGGCACACGCGACGGGGATCGCTCTCTCGACCACCGAGACTTTGCGAGAGACGTGGACGGCCTCGGAGAGGAAAGGCGCGGAAGCGGCCGTGGAAGCGGCTCGACGCGGACTGGGCTCGGCTCGAGAACGTCTAAGCGCGCGCGACTGGTCGCTCGCGCTGAGCAGCAACGCGAAAGGGAACCGAGCCCGTCGTCGTCGACATCGTCGTCGTCCCCGTCGTCCCCGTCTCGCTTCGTCCCCTTCCTTTCGGAGTTTCACCTTCACGGAAGTCTTCCCTCGCCGCCGATTAATGCCGCCGACCGTAGACCGAAGACGACTCTTCGACACGCGTTGTGACGCGCGCGATGCGTTACGTGGACGTTGTTCCTGTCCGTACTCTAACCCGGAAACTAATATCGCTGATACGTCCGGAGACCAACGCCAGGAAACGTTGAACGAGGTGCGAGATTCTCTGATTTATCGTGGGAAATTAATATAACATATCAGGGAATAAAGTAAAAAAAAAAGACTTGTATACGGTGAGATAACGATAAATTCGATTGGGAATCAAATATTTATGGGACGATATTTTTCGCAATAAATTCTTTATAGTGATATGATATAAAATAATAATGAAAGATGCTTAAATCAATAATATAAAATAATATTTTATAATTTAATATAAAATATTATAAAAAATGCTTAAATCAATAATCAATTTAAGCGGATTTATGTGAATTTACTGTTCCAATAATAAGTTCTGTTTTAAAACTGAAAAATACTCGGCGCACAGGTTTTTTTTTACTGATTGTGAGTGGGAATAAATATACAAAAATTCACATAAAAGTATTATTAACGACATGAACTCCCGATTGCTCTGCAATGAGCTCCTTTTTTATCAGTTGATTTATTAATCGTACGAGTACCCTCTCGGTCCTTATCTCTTCTTCGTAACTCGATAAAGAAAAAAAATCTAGAAGAAAAAATCAAAAGATTTTGTCGGGACTTGTTTTCGAATAAACTAAAATAATCCCCCGTGCGCTTTTTTTGGTCGCAGTCACTCGGGAAGGGGGAAAATTAAAATAAGGATGTTCGCTACGACGGACCATTTCTGCGCGCGACGTCGAATTGACGAATATCGATATCGGCTCGCGTCAATTCCTGTCGGGTAACCGGAGTGCGCCGTGTAGAAGTTATAGAACCTGGGAAAATAGCTGGTGACGTTGTAGACCAGCTTACCAGCAAACTCAGCACTTTGCGACAAGCACCTATCTGGTACCGGTCTCTCGGCGATGTCCAATTAAGTGTGCGCTAAGATTGCCACGGGAAGCAGCAACTTAGAACACAGGCGGCAAGAGGGGAGGAAAACGTGTAAGCCCGGCGACAAATAAAGCGCGTTTTTTAGCGCAACGCGGATAAATAAACTTCCCGGGTCTAATGAAGATAAAAGGACGTAATAAAGCGTCGGCGAACACGGCGACGACGGGAGGGAGGGAAGAAGGTACGGAAAAAAGACGAAGAGGAGGAAGCGAGGTGGAGGCGATACCGCGGGACGACGGTATGCGCGACGACGTCGTTATCGGGCCTCACGCTAAATCGAATTTCGTGCCCGTCTCCTTGGCTTCCGTCACCGTATACTTGAGAGCTCAATGATACATCTTGTCGAGTTTTCCGAGCACGAACGACAGCGGCGGAATACCGCCGTATCGACGACAGGCTCGACGGCACCGCTCGCGCGACGTTTTTCCGGACGTTCTCGCGCGCATTTAAATCAGCTCGGCACGGCTCACGCTGTTACAGGCGTCGAGGGAACAATGTTATTACGCGGCGGATAAAGCCGGCGAGGATGATGCACGGAAGTTTTTGGCTCGTTAGGGAAATCCACGGACTCTCGGCTCATGGAATTTGCGCGAATCCCTCGCCGCGCCGCGTCGCGGCCGCTCCGCTCCGGCGCGGCCGCAGCCGCGGCGCAGCGAGAGGAATATCGATTCCGCCTCTTCCGAATTTGCTGCAAAATCCTCGGCGGCTCAACATTATGCATTCGGGCTCTTCGGGCCGGGAGGAGTCTTCCGACCCCACCGTCGGCCGTCGTAACAAAAGCCTGAGCGCGATACGCCGGCGTGTACGACCCGAATCGCGAAAATAGAGAGCCGTGAGTCGAACAAGAGGCGTCTGTCACAGGCAGAGCCGCTACCAGCGTGTCTCGCGACCGTTTTCCCGAAGAATCAGTCCGTCAAAACGCAAAGAAAAGAGGTACGTGTTCCAACTGGGCACTCTCGAGCTAAATGCGTAACTGGGTTTCCGGAGCGAGCGTAATTTCACCGCGATATAAGTGCAAGGCCGATTTTCGGGTCCTTATTTTTATTGCGAATCTATCGCGCGAGTTTCTAACGCCAGACTATATTCCTGGTTCGCTATGAAATTCGTGAATAGCGTGAATGAATATACTCGTCGAGTTTGAATTCGTGCCAATTGGTCAATGGATCGGCTTTTTCGGAAAAAACGAAAGAGCGTGAGTCATAACGAATTGCGCAATCTGGCTGTAGCTTTAATCGTACGAAGAGTCGCGAGACCTCGTGGGAGGAACAGATCAACTGGCTGACCGAACGCGATATCGTTACGGACAATTCACTTATTCGTCACATTAGCACGGTCGATTGAGTTTCAAATAATATTATAACATCGAATAGGATAACGCATGAAGTTGTGATTAAAGGATTTATTTATTTCTTTTTATGTCGCGAAGGAATTCATGATAAGGAGACCAACCCTTGAGTTTTTAAATTTTTAATATCTTACAGTACACCCCCCATTCATTAATATAAAGTACAGTACCTAACTCTGTCTAGTGCGCAACAATTTCTCAAATATTTATGTTTAAAACTTTTCGTGTCGGTAACTGTTTACAAGCACGACAAAAAAATACATTCCATGGCAATTAATCTTCGGGATAGGAGCTTTCAATTTGTGCACTATCAATATGATCACAATATGTACACGTTTTTTGAATGGTATCTATCAAAGAAATATTTAAAACACATTACTAATTTGCACATTTTATGAATGCGACTTCTTTGGATAAACATGGTTCATTTATTATTATTGAAAAAAACATTTTAAACATTAATTATTAATAAACTATTGCGCATTGAACCGTTGCTGTATCTTATATATTAGTGAATGGAGTGTACTGTAACATATTAAAAATTTAGCAAAATTCAAGAAGTCAAAGTTTTGTCCCTTTGTGAGGTATAAACAGATGTTTAAGACCTTAGGGATAAAATTTGAAATATGGGAGGCCGCTGAGTTCTTTGCGGATTTCAGTGAAGTTGTCACCGAAGTAGCCATCGAAGTAGAGATGTCGCAGTTTGACGAGATCAGCGAAAGTGCCAATATCCACTGTCTGGATGTTATTGTTGGACATCATGATGTCTTTCAGATTGGAGAGCCCGGCAAAAGTGCCGACTACAATGTGAGACAATTTGTTTCCGTACAGTCGCAGTAGTTCCAGCTGAGACAGATCCCTGAACGTATCCGGCTCGAGAGCGCTGATCTCGTTCTGCTGAAGATAGAGTCTCTTCAGACC